GTTTCAATAATTGTGCTGCAGTAAGAATGTGTAGTAGAAAACATTGTGATAAGTAGTCACTGACAGAAACATCGTTTATAATTTGTACACATTCCAAGAATAGTAACAACAGAACTGATTCCAAAACAAATATAATAAAGATTTGCTTTGTTGGCTGCTGTTTCAAGCATAAAAAAATATTTTTACTGAATGATATGTAGTTAAGTTGTATTTAGATATTTTCTTTTGTAAAACACTCTCCTTGTGAAAATCAGACGCTGTATCCCCATTGGAAGACACATGACTATCTGTGCTTGCAAATAACAATGCTTAAATTTATCCTTCTGATATATTTAAATAATTTTATACCAACACAGTTATTCATTAGCATAATAGTAATATGACATTATACCACTAATCTTAATTGTACATTCTGTTCCTAGATAATAATAATTACATTTGATACAGAGCCTTATCACGTCTTCGAGCCGTCAAAGTGCTTCACAGAATATTCTGTAAAATGAATTGATGGCATATTTTGTGGATGAAACATGGCAGGCAATTGCGCACAGCAGTGTCCCACAAATAGTCATGGATTGAGTAACCAAATTATTATTATTATTAGATAAAAACATGTTTAGATAAACTTATTTTTCTTGACAATTTATTCTTCTGAAACCCTCTCAAATTTTTAAGATATCTATTTGATCCCTTTTAACCAGGGCATTCTTGTTTGGTTTATGTACTTACCTCAATTCACCACATATTCTATTCTGAATGGAGCCCAAGAAGCAATTTGGAAACATCTGAAAAGCATTGAAAGGAGCATTTTGAAATCTATAAAAAATCAACACAAAAGAGTGGTATTTGTTCAATCCATGTACACACATTAAACTTGTGACAATTATTGCACATGGTCCATATGAAGCTTCTGTGATTTTAACTAAAGAATGTAACAACAGACACGTATAGAACGATTTCAACAGTCAGATATTGAAGGACCTGATATTGGCCTCTGTGATGATGAATCCAAATCTTACACTCAAAGTAAACTCAGTTCTTAGCCCTGTTTAAAAATTCCCTTGATCTTTATTTTTGGAGATTTGTTTTTCTAGATATCTGCAATTTTTTCCTAAGGATCTTATTGTTCCTTGTTCTTGTTGTTCAGCACCGAATTACTTAGAAATACAAATACACAGCACTTTTGGATGATGTATTTTTCTTCAGGTAACTCATTTTTATAACTTACAGTTCTTAATCAATGTACATTTAGGAAAATCCATGACATTATTGTAACTTGGCAGAACTGGAAAGCAGATGCACAATTGTAAAAATATTGTCTTGCAAAATGGCAGTGGCATTTATTTTCTGTTTTTCCATGGTTTATTCCTTAATACATATGTTGTATAGTAGTCTTTGCTCTTGCTAAACATTGACTGATCCGGCTATGGATTTTAGCACAACAACAACAAAATTACATTTGTACAGTGCCTTTCACGTTAGGAGGACTTCCCAAGGTGCTGGACAGACAGAGTTTTGGACCCATGCTGGGGATTGGGGTCGGGGATGGTGGAGGGCAGGGGGGGAAGCAGGGAGATTGAAAGCACGGTCAAAGAGATAGGACAGGGAGGCAAGGGAGGGGATGAGGCAGAGGGACTGCGGGGTGGAGTTCCAGAGGTTGGGAGTAGAGTGGCAACAGGCCTGCAAGCCAATAGTGGGGTGAGCGAGACGGGGAACGTGAAGCAGACCGGAACCTGCTGAGCGGAGAGAGCGAGCAGAATGGGTTAGGACGTTGCAGAGGTAGGGGAGAGCAAGACCATGGAGGACTTTGAGGGAAGACCAGGATCCTGTGTTGGGAAGCCAGTGGAGTTGTGCAAGGATGAGGGTGATAGGGTCACGGAGTCTGTTGTGGGAGAGGACCCGGACTGCAGAGTTCTAGATGATCTGCAGCCTATGGAGAAAAGAGTTGGGGAGGCTGACAAGCAATGAGTTTGCATAGTCAAGCCTCAATGTAATAAAGGCATGTATGAGGGTTTCGGCGGTCTGCAGTGTGAGACAGTGGTGGAGCTGGGTAACGTTGCGGAGGTGGAGGGAAGGCAGAGCGGGTCATGGCGCAGATGTGGGGTAGAAAAGATAGTTTCTTTCCACAAATAATTGCAGTAGGCGTTATATTCTCAGGCTCAAAGTTACAGTCAAGGGGACCTTTGAATATTCCTGCCAAGGTTAAGTTCAGCTGGTGTGAAATGCATGCTGTTGAACTAACATTCCAAAAGGTTTCCACATATGTTGTGTTGTCTCTGATCACCACTTCATCTCCTTCACCACCTCCACCCCCCTCCCCACCTCCACCAGACCCACCACCATCTTCTACCGCTCCTGGAAGAAGTTACCCCCACAGTCCCTAACCGCTGCCTTGGAGTCCTCTGAACTCCTCTCCCTCTGGCCTTCAACCCTCACTGACCCCTCTTCTCACCCTCCTCCACAACATCCTCTCCTCCACACTCGACACTCTTGCATCCATCACCTCCCGTATTATCTCCTACTCTCGCTCCTCCCCCTGGTTCACCACCCACCTCCACACACTGAAGAGCCAGGTGAGGGCCGCTGAACGCACCTGCGTCAAATCTGGCCTAACGGTCCACCGACAAATCTGGCTGGACCTCCTCAAAATCTACCGCTCCACTCTAGCCTCGGCCAAATTGTCCTTATACTCCAGGATAATCCTTATTAAATAAAACAACCCCAGGCTACTGTTTTCCACCACATCCCGATTTCTCTGTCCCCTCCCGCCACCCCGCGCAGGTCATCCCCTCCAACCTTCACTGCGAGGAGATGCTGGATTTCCTTGAATCCAAAATCAAGGGAATTCGCTCCGCAGTCACTTCCCCTCCAACATCAACCCACCCCTCACCCCCTCCCTCCCACATTCTAATTTGACCCATCTGTTTTCTTTGAAGATATGGACTATGAGATAATCCCCAGTACACAACTCAAATCTCAGAGAAAGATGCTCTTTTCCTTTATGATAGTATAAAACTAATTCAACAACAACAAATTGCATTTATATAGTGCTTCTCACCTCGGGAGTATGAACCAAAGTGCTGGATAATAAGGGGTTTGTACCAAAGCTGCAGGTTGGGATCAGAGAGCTAAGCTACCTAATAGAAGTCAGTCATCCTATATCTCCTTCCACCTATCAAATAAGAGGCGTTTACATTTTATCTAACTACACCACCCAAATGCAAAAACTGTGTATTGCTAAGAATTATGGATCTCTATTTCTTCTTGCTTCCTCAAAAGATTATAATTATCTCCTCTAATCTTGATAAAAGGAGCTAACTGTCTATTCAGTGCAGTCCTTCAATAATGAAGGAGAAAACCCTGAACAGAGAACAGATCTTTCAAATATGAATGAAGCTATCTAAAAGCCTACAAGTTACCTGTGATTAAGTAAGAAATAAAACAGTGATCTTGGACAGAAACTAAAATAAATAAAGACTGAAACATTGATGAGGCATATCAATACCATGGACCAATATAGGCACTGGGAACAGGAAGTTTCTATGGGTGTACTAGGTAACAATCACCCCAAGCAAAATTATTACTAACCTTATGGCTTATGGCTGTGTGTAGAACATTTCTGTGCACGCACTGACTGTGGCATTCAACTAGAAATACACAGTCACTGCACTTCACGATAAAATCCTGAGAAGCACTTTGAGGTAGTTCGATGGTGTGATCAAGAGTTATATCAAATGCAAGGATTATTGTTTTAATGCACAAAACTAAAGGCATTATTGCCCACTAAAGGTGACTTACATAATCTGAAGGGCAATGGCTGAATTTGTGGTTCGTTTTTGCATATTTTACCATGCAAACTAAACATGATTAAGCCCTGTGAGGTCCTACATCACAAATCTGGACGTCATGTGGTATTGCAAGATTTTACATTGTGGTCCAATCTCCTGTGACATAATCATCTACTGAATGCCAAACAGTAATAACAAATAAATAACTATCAACAACGTATTGTTAACATCTATATCATCTCAAAGCTGTTGTTTGTCACAGGATTTCAGACTGTAATCTAAATTTTGAATTCAGACAGCAAATATTGCACTTATTCTCTGCTGGGTGGCAGTCTGAATCTTTTGCCTGGATGACTGACTGCTGTACATGCAATTACAGCTATAAGGTATAATGTATCTTCTACGTTTCGCCTAAAATAGCCTCATCTTACAACCTATTGACCTTATGTCATTTGGTACTAACCTATGATACAAACAATAATCGCGTTAATTTTTTTTTAAAAAAAGGCATATCATTAATTTGTGAAATAGGCTGCTCTTGGGGATTTAACTCAGAACTCAAGTCATTCCTGCTTTGTTGTTACACTCTATGGGATCCAGTGCAGGACAGCAGTAGATTTTCAAACTAAGAATATGCCCCCAATTTACTCCCAGCACTTCGATCGGATGCATTGATTATATGCATCATCTGCTCTGGGTGTAGAGATGTAAACTTTGTGCCAGATCTGCATTCATTTATTTCCTTTTTTTTTTTGGTGAGTGTGTGCGCGAGTAAATGAGATATTTTTTTTACACACACACACAAGATATTATGCACGTAGAGTTTAAATCTTAGGTGTTGTTTTACCTACCATTGCAGGTGCCTGCACATCTGCGTGTACCTTATGGATAAGGTTACTTTGGTTAGTTTCTCTGGCAGTTGCACAGTGTAGAGTTCCAGTCATCCCAAAGGGAGTTGGATCTCCTGTGGTATTGGGAGGCACTGAACTGACTGGAAATCCTGTGACGCAACGTCAGCCCACGGGACAGATTTCAAGTTTCAGCAAAGTTAGTTTCAGTCAGTTGTAAAGCAAACCGAGGACACGATCACATCCCCTCTGCTGTGATACCAGAGTCAGGAGAGTGCTGCAAAGAGCATCTGCGCCACCTGTACCCGAACTCTGCCATATATATCACTGGGGGTGGTTTGGGGGAGGGGGGGGGGGGGGGTGGGGGTGGGGGATTACACATCTTGTGCACAAACAGGATCAGCGGAATTTAGAGTCGAGTGGCTTTCAATCACAAAAGGGGGAAGCTTTGAAATCCCCTGAAGATGGCCAATATGGGATCTGAAATCGTTGCCTTCATCTTGGCGGTGTGCGGCTGGATCCTGGTGTGCTCCACTCTGCCCACAGACTACTGGAAGGTGTCTTCCATCGACGGGACAGTGATCACTACAGCCACTTACTGGGCCAACCTCTGGAAAACCTGTGTGACAGATTCCACTGGAGTCTCCAACTGTAAGGACTTCCCCTCCATGCTGGCGCTGGACGGTTCGTGATTTTAAAACAACTCGCACCATTGCTCAGAGTCTAATGAAACCCTCTCTACTTTTTTTTTCACTGCATCTTCGCGTACTCTTTGCCAATTCTCCCTCTGAACCTGTCTGCACTTGCAAAATACACCCGGACCCGTTGGCTTTCTTGCTTTGTACTTTCTGGTCCCGTTGTTCAGTCGCCCTCAATGTGACTTTGCGCAAAATGTAACCTGGAGTTGACCAGACACCGAACGATTTGCTACAACTTGCCCAAGGTCCATTGAGAGAGAAAAATATATATTGCATGCCCTCAATGGTTTGCTGAGAATCATTCGACACTCTTGGCATTTTCTAGCTCATTTTTTTTTTAAAAAAAAACGTACTATTTCTGTCACCACTGTTCAAATTGCAGTAAACGATCTTAGCTGTGGTGCACATGTATGTCCCTGATAATAATTATGAAATTGTCGTATTTCTGTACGATTCCACTGTACTCAAAGCCTCTTTTCCTATTAATTTTCTGCCCTCTTTATGTGAGATATGATCAACATTTACTCACTCATTGTGTCCTTTCTTTCCCCCGTTAGACATCCCCTGCCCTTTACCTTCTTCCTTCATTCCACCTCTCAACACAAGCCCTTGATATAAACAATTTGGCCTCCAGTCACTTTTTTTTAAACAGACATTTGACATAAGCAGGAACACAGACATTTGAAAACACTGCAACGTGGAGAATGCAAATAGTTATTTTATAAGCTTTAGGTTTTGGAACAGATTTGAACAGCCACTGAGGTACTCACTAATCTATTGCATGTTGTCTTACATTCGGTTCTGTTCACTGCTTATCGAATGACTGTTAGAAAGAAGGCATTGTAGTAATAATTATTATTTTGCAGAATAGGATGCAGAGCACCCTGGAAATAAGCATCAGTGTTTTTGTTAAAGTCGATGGAAATCTCTGCATCCCACTCCCTGCAACTGTTCTTTGATTTTAATACTATTTTAATTATTATTCAAAACACCACTTTCTTATTAGGATTGCCTCGCTCATTTTCTGTGCTGGGTACTAAGCCCCTACAAATCTGATGACTCTTCACACTGCAGCCATGAACCACACATGTTGTAAACCTGTGGCATGGAAGAAAGGAAGTATTGCCTCGCGGTTGCATGTTGCATGTTATGAGAGGATGTTAGAAAACGTTTGAAAAAAAAACGTGCAATGTACCACCAGCAAACGATGCCTTCCCCCACCCCCCAAAAAAACTCTTCAAAGCAAAAGGCAGATGCTGTGCATGCAGCCGATGCTGGAAATCTGGGATAAACACAGAAGTTCTGACGAAAGGTCGTAGAACTGAAACATTAACTCATTTTGCTCTCTCCATTGATGCTGCCTGACCTGCTGAGTGTTGTTGTTGTTGTTGTTGCTATACTGTTCATTGGTTTATGTGAAACCGATGGCTCACTTTATACAGGGCAAAGGCTTCTGAATATCTCACCCACTGCCTTACCTACTGTCTCTGCACAGCTATTGCCTTCCATTTCACTTGTTTACCAGACGACAGTCTTACTTGTTCGTTCGTGTCATTTAAAAAAAAAACAACAACGTCCCTTTGTTCATTTCTGCAATGCTTCAGAGGTGATTTGAAGTTTTTATCAGAACAAAAAAAATCAAATTAGTGGATCAGGAGGGCAGGACTTGAATGTTAGGATATAGTGAGCATCTGCAGATAACACTCTCTCTGTCATCATTGCCCATCGCTCTTTATCACAAACCAGTTTCTAAATCGATAAATACGTTTATCACACAAACACTCACACGCCCACACACACCTGAGGACCACTCTACCTGTTCCAAGTTCATTTGAAACCACCAGAAAAATGTTACAACGACACGGGTCAGGGAATGAATACAGACCCAAGTAGATCAGATCCAATCCTACTCTAACTCCAGGTGTTATCAGTGTTGAACACACGTGTTGGAGTAATGGTTTCTTCCTTTATAATCGATTGATTAAATTCGCTCCAAGTGGACGTTGACCAAAACCTCAGACCGGTGTCTAACCCCAGATCTCCAGATTGCATCCAGACCAGTTGGTTATCTTAAACCACACACCATGCCCAGATTCCTGACTCTTACGGATTTTTAACTATTCCGAAACAAAAACAAATTCCCCAGACTGTTATTGCTTAAAGATTTGCATTATTAATGCATTTTTACTGAAGCATTCCGGGTAGGGCTGCCTTACAGGGTTTATGAATCAATTCACTATTGGTACGAACCTGTTTGGGACGTTCAAACACTGTCTGTGATCCTCTGGATATTCCCTGTCTGCATTGTTATGTCCAATGGTAAATAAATGCTGTCAAGAGCAGTTGTAAGCAAGTGAAGCAGTTCATCCCTGCATTATTCTGCGCTGTACTGCACACATATTCTTTCATAACCTTTCACTTTCCCCTCAGGACATATTGTACGCTATAGTGCAGAAAACATGGGCTTAGATTTTAAAAGGGATTTTACTTTTTGCGAAAGAGGTATAGATTTAACCCGTTACTCTTAATAATAATAATAATAATAATCCTTGCATTTGATATAGCGCTTTTCACGTTGGGAGGACGTCCCAAAGCGCTTCACAGAACACACTGTAAAGTGAATTGACTGTATATTTGTGGGCGAACGCGGCAGCCAATTGCGCACAGCAATAATAATAATAATAATAATAATCCTTGCATTTGATATAGCACTTTTCACGTCGGGAGGACGTCCCAAAGCGCTTCACAGAACACACTGTAAAGTGAATTGACTGTATATTTGTGGGCGAACGCGGCAGCCAATTGCGCACAGCAATGTCCCACAAACAGTCGTAGATTGAAAATGACCAATTTATTATTGTTTTGTTTTTTTGGAGGGATTATTATTAGGCGTGTGGAGTAAGGAAACTTGCCCAAGGTTTCACCCTCTGCCTGGAACTGAACTCAGGTCTCTCACTTGCAAAGCGAGTGCTCTAACCACTGAGCTACAGGACTCCACAAATATGTTTTAGTATTTGATTACTGTATTTCTTTTTAAGGCTTTTCAAAATTGCCTTCAAACCTAATACTCTTCTTACAGTACAGATTTACTGCAGTAAGAAGACTACATTTTGCTTCTTGCGCCTTATCATTTCCAGCAGTAAGTGATAAAAACCAATGGAAATATCAAGAGTATCAGATTTAAAAATGACACTTGAAGTGTGATTGTACTTAGCATCCAACTTCATGCTTGCGATTGTGATAAAAATGTCAGTGTGTCAATTTTAGAGATTGGTACATGTGGTATAAATGATAATAAAAATTATAATAAAACTTGCATTTAATATAGCTCCTCATCACGTTGTTGAGACGTCTCAAAACAGATCACAACATACTGTGTAAAGTATGGTGACTGTGTATTTTGTGGCGAAACGTGGCAGCCAATTGCACACAGCAGTGTCCCACAAAACAGTTATGCATTGAGTGATCAATTTTTTTAAGGGATTATTATTAATTATGTTAATAGTCAATAAGTAAATGATTGGAACAGACAATAAAACTAAATGATTTGGACAAACAAAGATAGATAACTTGGTGATGATATTGCAATGTTTAACTTGAATCTACCCCTTGCAGTTGTTGAGCTGAGCTCCAGGTCTGCTGACTCATTGACTGGTGTGATTAAAGTGGGTTTTGAAGCTGATTGTGAAACCTCGATATCCCATGTGCTCGCATGACTGACGAAGACCTTTATTTTATACTCATGGTGTATTAGGGTCATTTAGTTTGTTTTGATTAGTGTAAATATTCAGTCAGTTTCCCTGGAGACGTGGTTGTAAATTAAAGTCTCCACAAGCTTCAGGTATTTCTGCTTCATGCTTGAGAAGTTTGAGGTGTTAATTAGCCACAAATGCTAAGAATAAATCTGACCTGTCTTAAATAATATTTTCCGGTCTTATATCGTTAATTATTTGTGTGTTTTTATAACTAAGGACCTCACGCATCAATAAGCAGTAGTTTGAAAAAACGATAGTGACAAGTAGACAGATTGATTATAGTGGTGTAAAATGTAGAATTAAAATACTCCACTTGCATTTCATACTTCACTGCAGAAACTGTCTTTCTTTCTCTCATAAAAGTTTGTGTTATTTATGACCTTTAAATTAGTTTTCCTGAAAGTTCTTGTACAGTTATTGGATGTAAATTATACTGTGATTAACTAACATTGAAGTGAAACACAGTGTGCAATGGCTGAGGTCATAAACAAGCTGAATATCAAATAAGTAGAATCAAAGTTTTGCTATTATCTGGCAAAATTATGGCAGAAAATTAGAAATAATACTTTCAAAGGAAATTCCTCCTCAAATCCCACCTTGCTGCTGGTGCATAGCCATTTGCTGCTCACAATAATTTGAACGTCTTTGTTTAATCACAATTCTAAGATTTGGTTGTGAAAAGAAATGAACATCAATGCAGTTATGTTTACAGTTTATTATATTTTTCAGTGTTAGGTAAAAACAAAAGCTCAGGTAAATGACTATATAAGACATAACTCTAGGTATGTGTTGAGGGAAAAAAAGCACTGAAACAGGTTATGCTTCAGATATCAAGTTGATACTTGCCTAACATGGTGACATACACAAACTACAACTATTATAGAGGAATAAAGCTTTTGGTAAGAAAGTAATATTCAAAATGTAGAACATCTCAATAATCTACTTTTTAAATTATTTCCAGAGAGATTACACATCATTCTGTCTCAAGATGTATTACTTATTATTTATAATGTGGTTGAGAAACATAGTGATGTACCATTATGTACATCAAGCACTTTGGCTCTCGATTTCCTCTTGTCCTGTTGCCTTGCATACTGAAAGGGTATTGTTTACAGTTTACATTCTTTATCCTATTAACGTCTTACATAAGGTCTCTCTCAGCTGTATCTTCAAGGTTTAATAGCCCTAGTTTATCTAGTTCATCCTGCGCTTGGGACGTCCTCCTGATTTG